GGAAAGAGAAAAAAAGGAGAAAGCACCTCTCTAATGGGATGAGGTCTTGCCGCAATCCCTTCTCCCCCATTTCTCCATCCTAGAGGGATTTGAGGAACATAAGCACCTGTCCTGGAGTGTTTTTCAAGTTGCTGGGGCCGGGATTTGAACCACAGTTGATCAAGTGGGATCCCATATAATAGAATATTATTCAGCTCTAAAAAGGAATGAAGTACTGATACACATTATAACCTTGATAAACCTTGGATACATCATGCCAAGTGATAGAATTCAGACACAGAGGTCAAATAGTATATGATTTTATTTATATGAAATATCCAGATTAAGAAAATCTATAGAGAGAGCAGATTAATGGCTGCCAGGGGACGAGAGAGAGGGGAATGAGAAGTGACTGCTTAATGAGTAGGGGGTTTTCTTTTGGGGTGATGCAGATGTTCTAACTAGATAGTGGTAATAGCTGTACAAATCTGTGAATGCACTAAAAGTGACTTGAGTTATATGTTAAATGGTCAAAATGGTAACTTTTATACATATTTTACTATAGTAATGCAATAAAGAGATGTCTTTACTATGGAGTGAAAGTGTGGTTGACTAGCAGGTCATTTCCTGAAAACCTTCTCTGCCTAGTTCAGTACTTTGTCACATCTCACTTGGATTGTCACAGCAGCCTCCTAAATGGTCCCCTATCCCCACTATCCATCTCTACTCCATCTTGCACAAACTTTCTACCATGTCAAAATGACCATTACATTCCCTTATTCAGAACTTTTCAGGGCCAAGAGGTGGTGTGGTGGCTGGGGTGCTGAACTCCCACATGACCAACCATGGTTCAAGTCCTGGACAAGGTGGTTTGCTCTCTCACTTTGCCTCTCTCTCTCTCTCCTTCTCTTCCTCTCTCGTGAGCACTCATGTTCTATAGCAAATTTAAATAATAAATAATTTTTCAAAAATAAATTAAAAATAAATTTAAAAAAATCTTTCAGTGGTTCCTAATCTACTGCAGAAAGAAATCCTCACACAACTTTAAAAGGCACTTCCAGATGTGGTGCCCAGTTGCTTCTTTCCCTGTGTATCCCTTTCCCTGTATATTTCTCATGGAATGCTCTGAGAGGGCAGAGACCACAGTGGGTCTCATAAATCGTTCTGTTCATAGCACCCAGAATGGACCCTGTTTTTTTAACCCATCAGGCACTGGCATTCTTGTCTAGCTCCAGCTCTTGCTCCTTCCTCAGATATCTGTATTCTAGGCAAACCAAGTCCTCCATAAAGTCAGCCCAGTCCATGAGTCTGAGCCTTGTGTACGGGTCTCCCCATTTAGAGGGTTAGCATCCCATCTGTAAATCTGGACAAACGCCAATTCTCCTTGTTCTCATCCATTGTATTGCTATTAACAGAAACACCTGAGTCTGGGTAATTTCTTATTTTTTCATATTGCAATGCCTTTTATTGTACATCTTTCTTTCTTCCTTTTCCTTTCTTTCTTTCATTCAAGATTTTCCTATCTTAGGGACAGGAAAATCACTGAGAGAGAGAAAGAGACAGTGAGAGGGAAAGTGAGATATCACCCCCCGGGGGGATGGCCACACCACAATCCCTTCTTCTCCATTCTCCTGGGATCTTGCTCATGCATGCATACATGCCCCACATGAGCTTTAAGCCACCAGGTCCAGGACTTGAACCATGATTAACCATGTGGGAGTTAAGTAATATAACCACTACGCCATCTGTTGGCCCTGAGTTTGGGTAATTTAAAAAGAATAAATGTTTATTCAGCAGTAGGCCATGTGAGAATCCAGCACCCTTAACTGCCATGTGACCTGCCAGCCCAGTGTCTGGGTCATTTTCAAAAAACAGCGACTTATTCTGCTCACTCAGGTTTGGAGGTCCAAGGTACAGGTGTTAACTCGATATGGTTTTGTAGTGAAAGCCTTCCTGCTGCTGGGGAGTCACACGGCAAGAGCTTGCACAGAGCAGAGCACTGTCTGTATCTCCTTAGAAGCCCACGAGGATCAGACCCTGGGAGTCCCATCCCAATTCTAACCTTCTCCCAGAGGCCCCATCCCTCAACACCACACTCAGTTTAAGGTTTCACTTTCTTAATCCCATCACAACTAACTCACAACACATGAGTTTTGGGAGGGCACGTTAAAAACCATAGCAATCCTTTGACACAGTTCTACTGTGCTCTTTTCCGACCATTGGTCACTCATTTCTGGGTGTTCCCATGGCATCTCACACGGTCCCCTGTGGCATCCCTCAGCACCTCATCCCAGGACTATGTATTGACATCCTGCTCTGTGGGACTACAGGTACCAAGGAGCCCATCCTAACTCCTCCAGCAACACCTGTTGTTGACAGGCAGTGCTGTGACTCACAACACCCCCTCTCGTGCATGGCCTATAATAGGTGAGGTCGGAGGAATAAACAAAAATAAGTAACCAAATAATCTGTCTTGAGGAATCAACCTGAGAATTTGTTTTTTTCTGCACAGGAAACAATCTGAATTAAACTGGATATTGAGGGCAGCTGTCACTGAATCTCTGGGAATCATTTTATTTACTTGGCTGTGAAAAAAGGCAAGAAGTGGAGGAGTCAGAAACTGGAGCAAGTGGAAAGGGTGGGGAACTGGAACGGCGTAACGGACATTCTCCCTTCAGAGAACACCTCTTCCTGAAGCATCCTGCCAGGTACTTACGGCACTGACCGGAAAGTGAAGCAACCGTCACTCTGCAGAGGGAGAGAGAGGAGCCGCCACGCGCTCCCCAGGCTACACGCAGTACAAGTGTAACCTCCTCGCGCCTGGGTAATTGAGGACCGACCGTGAAAATGAAATTCCACTTTGCCTTCACATCATTTTCCCTTTAGCACATGTTCCCCTTTTGCCCACTCAGCTCCCTTCCTAATAATGTCTGTCTTTCCAGTTTGATCAGAATGTACTGTGTGGTGATCTGTAACCTCTTCACTGACGTGTGCTCTGTGTGCCCTGCCTTTGTGTTTTGTTGCCCCTGGTGTCCCTGCTAAGTCCTTGTGGTTTATGTCACACCTCCTTTCCCCAGCATAAAGGACAGTGGCCACTCAGGAAAGCTGGCTGCAGAGCAGAACGCATGAAGAATGTTTCTCTTCGGATTCTTTCAGACTGGAAGGCACTTTGGACTCTGGATTTCATTATTTTTTTTTTTGTTTTTTTTTTTTTCAAAGAATTATTTATTTTAATTTTATTTATTACTTTTTAAAGAATTTGACCAGAGAGAGAGAGGGAAAGTGAGAAAGCAAGCTGTCAAGTCCAGGACTCAAACCCAGGTCAGCCATGTGAGAGTCCAGTGCCTGGACCACAATGCCACCTGCTGGCCACTGGACTCTGGATTTCAAAGGCCAGTGGGGGGGATGAGAAATCTAGGAACACAGGGCTCAAGGATAGAAGGGAAAGAAATTGATGTGGTTTTGTGCATCTGTTAAATGATCTCATTTCATTCTATCTTTCCTGTGAGAATATTATTTGTTGACAGCAAGTAAGGAGACAGAAAAGGCAACACCACCAACACTACACAGAGATTCTTTGGGATAGTTCTGAGGTGCCACCTCTGGCATCAGGCTGAAGCTGTTCTCTGCAGGGCCTTGTCCGAGATGCACATTAGCTTGGCTTCCTTGCCTACCCTGCCTGCCTGATCCCTCATCTCCTCCTAGGTTCTCCTGGGAGCATTTCTTTAAATAAGTTACTTGCACATAAATCCTTGTCTTGGAATCTGATTCTGGGAACCTGACCTAAGAGCTACCTTAAAGAGCACAGGAAGAAGGCTGCAGCCGTGGTGGGAGCCAGCCTGGGTCACATTATGACTTTCCTATAATGTTGCCAGATTTGGCAAATAAGAGCACAGGACAGGTAGTTAATTCACATTTCAGATAAACAAGTTAAAAACAAAAATGACAGAGAGGGAGATTGATTTTTGACAGTCTCTCCATGTTAGGACCCTCCTGCCCCAGCTTCCTAACTAGCTGGGACTAGAGCAAGTCACTAGGACTGATCTGTTCTAGGGTGGGCCAGGAGCTGCACCCAGGCCTCTCATATGACCCGAGCCTCTGAACAGCAGTGTCAGCCTTGTGTGCTACTGCAGCTGAGACACACACACACACACACACACACACACACACACATTTTAGTACAACTATGCCCCTTATGAAGAGGGATCTCCAAAAAGTTTATAGAAAATGTGTCCTGAGGCCAGCAGGTGGCGTGGAGGTAGAGTCACTGGATCCCACGCAGCCAGCTGCATAGTTCAAGCACGAAGCCTGGCGACTTGAAAATCACAGAGGGCGCATGTACATGAGAGGAGACTGGAGAAGGGACTGCAGCGTGGGCATCCCCTAAGGAGATGATTTCTCACTTTCCTTCTCTGTCTCTCTCCAGTAAGCACACACAAGCTACAGCAAAAATCTTAAAACAAACAAACAAACAAACAAACAAAACCCAAAGAAGGTGTATTATAAAAAAAGTTGCATAGATTTCAAAAACAATTTTTACACCAAAATAAACTCATATTTCAATTCTGCTTTTCCATAAGCTTTCTGAAGTCCTATTGCATGTATACTAAAAAGAATTATTCATTGTGTATCTGAAATTCAAATTTGACTGGGCATTCTGTATCTTATATGGAAATCCTTAGGAAGAGCCATAGGACATTTTGCCCCTTCTTCCACTTAAAGAAGAAATTATATTTATGACTGCATTGGTATAAAGACAAAACTAAGTCAGGCTGGACTCATTACTACATATTCATCACTATCATTATGTTCATTTTTCTTCCACTTTAAAATGAATTAAAATCGAGACATGTTTGTGGGTTCCTAAAAGTACAAAGGGTCCTACCTACTGTACCTATTCTAATGGATGATTCAGCCCCAGGGTCAGCTTACCAGGGGCCTTGAATGTCATGATTAAACAGGATTGGACTTTCTTCATCAACCATTGTTCTACTAAGAGTTCTGTGATCAGATGGTATTTCAGAAAGCTAGCCCTAGTTGAGCGCTGAAGAAGAGGTCAAAGAATAGAATATGTGGCCAGGGAGGAGGCGGTCACCATGACTGAGATGGGACATGAGTAGGACCTTAACAAAGGCAGGTGGCAAGCCTGTTAAGTTGAGGGTCAGCACTGCAGTAATGCTCACCAGGTCTCCATGGTGCAAAGGTGTGACCTTGGGCACTGGAAAAATGGGGCGATGGGTCTACCTAAGAGAGTCAGAACCACGTTGGGATCACCCTTCTTCCTGTGAGGGTCAGCAGGGTGCCTCCATACAAAATATGAGGAGCTGCCCCATCAGGTGAAGCATTGAGAGATGCTGCAAGCTAGGCATCCAAGACCTGCTCCTTGTTTTGCTAATAAAGTTTTATTTTACATAGTCATGCCTATTCAGTTCCATATTATTTATGGGCTATTTTTGTGCAGAGTTGAGCAGTTGCAATAGAGAAAATGCCCTACAAAGCCTAAAGTTTTCACTGTTTTGCTCTTAGTAGAAAAAGTTTGCCAACCCATGGTTTTTTTGTTTTTGTTTTTTTTTTTTTAAGACTTTTGCCACAGGGTATGTGTACTCTGTGAGAGAGGGGAAGTGAGAAATCACCCCCCAGGGGAGATGGTCATACTGCAATCCTGTCTCTTCCATTTTGCTTTAGGGATTTTGGGCATGCACATAAATGCTCCTAAGCATGTTTTTCAAGTCACTAGGTCCAGGATTGAAACACATAGTTCATGTGGGATCCAGCCGCCTTACCCACCACATGACCAACTGGCCCCAGGAGGGGATTTTTCTGAGAAACTGATGTTTCTGAATATGTGACATTTAAAATAAAGCCCTCTCCCCCTCAGTCTTTGCTGCTGTGTGTAGTATGAGCTAGGTGTCTCCTTCCTCATGCCCACAGATCAAAACAAAAACTCTACAAATTATCTCCAGGCAGATGGAAAATGGCTTTGAATTACTGGGGAGATGCAGCAGAGAAACTTGTCCTGATGGTGTATATGAATTCAAATGAGAAATCCACCCCACGGAAACCAGGGTGTGCTCCTCATGGGAGCCACAGAGGGCTACGGAGAGGAAGAAGATAGAAACTCGGGGAGAAGGGTGGTGATGCTATTTAGAAATTCTCACTTGCCCTTTGTAGTCATTTAAATACTCTGTGGTGCTCAATCAGTACTTTACCTGGCCTAATTAAAAATCAGATTGCTATTTTAACTGAGAAAAATAGTACTTTCAACTGTTTTAGAAAGAAGAAAAGAATAAACATTATCAAGACTATCTCTTAGAAGATTAGGACCAAAAAAAAAAAAAAAAAAATCCAGGAGGGGAGGCTTCAAAGCTATTTTTGTTTTCCTTGGCTTTGAAATACATAGACAGTTCTGATAATTTTATCTTCCTAAAAATACAGCAAATAAAGTCTATTTACTACTCCCAGGCAATTCCATACATAAATTAAAAACACACACACACACACAACACAAAGCACTTTAAACAAATCCTCCTGTGAGTCTCAAATCCATCATTTCTCTTCCTGTGGCGAGGGTTTTATGCCACAGATCAATGCAATTCGAAAGTTTGGGAGGTGATTTTGTTCTCATCCCCTGCTACTGGATGAGTTTTCAGATGGCCATCTAAAGAACAGCTTACATGCTGTCTCTTCCAGATCTCAGGAAGGCTTCAGTCGAGCTGACATGTTAAGAGATGGTGAGCAGAGATATAAATATATTTTATCTCATTTCTCTAAGTCAGCTTTTAAAGTTAGTTCAAACATACTACTTAGTAAATTCATGAAAAATCTTTTTTTAACCACAAGAATGATATTTCCACTTCTCATCACCATATTTAGTAGGAGAGATGCTTTAGGAATATCATCTCTCCCATTAAAAAAGGGCTTTCTAGGCACAAATTGTACTGCAAAAACATGTGGAAAGATGGGCTGATTCCCCTTATATTTCTGAGTGTGTTGGTTTGAAAATGGGGTAAGAAATTCCAATATACCTAATTTTTCAAGCAGCCATATAGAAAGTAGGTTGATATGTGAAAATCATCCAGTCTTGATAAAACAGGCATTTAAAAATAATTTTGTATATCGTTTATTATTTTCTCCTTCCAACAAATCATCTATTAAGTCCTCAGTGTGGGCTGGATCCTACATTAAACTTAGGGATAGAGAGATATTAAAGATGAAATTCTTGTCATTAATTCTTATAGCCCAACAGGGAAGATGGCCCCCCGGTGGGGGTGAGGAACACAATGCAAAGCAGCAAGTGTGCCCACAGACGTCTCCCTGAAGTCTTCTCTTGTTACCAATGGTGCACATCAGGACTGACTCTTGGACTAGCTGACTGATGGATACCTGAGCCTCATCCCTAAAAGGGACATTATCAATACGGCCAATCAAATGGTACAGCAAAAGAGCAAACAGACAGATTAGGCAGAAGTTAGCTAAATCTCCTACTTTCTGCCAAGGAGGATAAATTTCTATCTCAACCCTTCCGTGAAGAGCAGATACAGCACAGTGATAGTGCTGCGATAGCTTCCTTTCCCAGAACACAGATATTAGATAGTTGGCTTTTACCCTACCAGTACTACCTTAAAAAATATGTGTGTGTGTGTGTGTGTGTGTGTGTGTGTGCATGCGCATGCATGCGTGTGTGTACCAATAACAGAAAAAGACATTACTGCTACCTAACAGTTGTAGGAGAAGAGGGAGCAGGTAGGAAGAGGACAGATGCTAATCGGGCTGCTAGCCCCCAAAGCGCTGCAAGTGAAGTAGCCACACTGAGCTCCCATGATCCTCAACTGCATAGCTAGGAAGCTTTTGGCTGCAAGTAACTAAGCATCCAATTAAAGTGGCTCGAACAACAGGGGTCTATTTTCATTACTTAATAATAAGTCCAGAGGATTGGTTCCAGGAAGGAGCAAGAAGGCATTTGAGATACTTAACAATGAATATGGCACAGGCACTGACACACAGATGCCTGACCAGTCAGAACAAATCCTCAGTATAAACAGCCATTGCTGCTGCACCACGCACCTGGTTAAATTCTATCCCTGGTTCCAA